TTTATAAGGTCGTAGTTAAATTGTTCTGTAAAATTAACTCAAGATGACATAGTAAGATAACTGTTCTCATACAGAGTCTTATAACTTAATCAAATGATGTTCCTATAATAATCTTAACAATAAAAGGCGTAATGTAGCAGGGAAGGAGAATATTAATGTATGAGAGTTATAGGAAACAAAGACGAAAACTGGATCCCGTTCACTGAGTTATATTTGTAGTTGGAATAAAAGATTATATGCTTTGGGGTATTTAGCTGATTACATTGTTACCGAAATGGATAAAGATTAGCCGCCTGATAACAAACTTTAGGTCTTACCCTGTTGATTGCAGTGAATAATTTGAAGTCAGGTATGGCATCATCACACTGTTGAATATTATTTCGAATTCATTCCCTGTGTTCAGAATTTATGATCTATAATTTAATGAACTATCGATGCTGTTCAGTTATTTCAAACTCAGTTTCACGTGAACAGATTCAATAAAGTATGTAGAGTACAATCTCTCTGCTTTTTAATGAACCTTTTTTTCATGTCAAAAAAAATTAATAACTACAACTAAAGTTGATAGTTGACTCGCCTTTTTTCCCTGAAAACTGTATTACAACTACTAAATCATCTATGTCATCCTCCTATTATTATCATTATTTGTCCCTTGGGTTCCTAATGGAACATAGGGCTTCAGTAACACGTCTCCATTCCACTCCTCTGAAATCTTTTGAACCTGCCTCCACGACAGCCCACAAGCTCTCATTTCCTCCCCACAAGATCTCCTCCATGTCATCCTCGGACGCCCAATTCGTCGTTTCCCATCTGGGTTCAACTCGAGGGACTGGCCTGACGCGTGATGTCCCCAGTCAGCCTTCTCACTGTATGCCCAGTCCAATACATCTCCACTTCCTTCCTGTGCATATTTGTTAGGTGATAGGTTGTTGGTTGGTTCGTTCGCAGAGTGACTTCCTTGTTGCTTATTCATTCCGGTCATCTGATCTTCAGTAACGAGCATGCGTAAGCAGTTGTTGATGAATGTCTGCAGTTTGTTGGAAATGCTTTTAGTAACGCGCCAAGTCCCTGAAACATACAGAAGCACTGACTTGACTGAAGTTAGTGTTGAAAATCTGGATGTTGTTCCACATGCTGAGTGCAGAAGGTCTCGACACTGGTTTCAGGCTTTTCCGATTCTGACTTTGACATCCTCATCTCTGGCACCTGTAGTTGAAACAGTGGTACCTAGATAGGTGAAGGAGGTTACTTACTTTACGGTTCTCCCACTGATGGTGATTGGAGCTTTGTGTTGTTGTTGTCGGTGTTGTTGGTTGAGTATCTTTATCACCTCTGTCTTCTCTATATTCACTTGAAGTCCCGTCTTCGCTGCCTCACCTCTTCTCTCAACTTGTTAGTTTTCGCCTGTAGATCTTCAAGTTTATGTGACTTCAGGCACAAGTCATCGGCGAAATCCAAGTCTTCGAGGTTGTTTTCCGCAGGCCAGTGTATCCGCCTCTTCTCGCCCCCCACTGTTTGCTGCATGATCCAGTCGACCACAATCAGGAATATCATGGGTGATGGAAGGCAACCTTTTTTCACTCCCGTCTTCACTTCAAAAGCATCACTGAGCTGTCCATTGTGAATTACTTGGCATGTGGCATCTTCATATAGTTGTTGAATGAGGCGGATAAAGGTTTGTGGCATTCCGTAGTGTTGAAGCAGGTGCCTGTTGAAGGTCGTTTCAAAGTTAATGAAGTTGAGGTAGAGAGTTGACTGCCATTCTATACTCTGTTCTATGATGATGTGAAGCGTTGCAATCTGGTCTGCACATGATTTGTACTTCCTCAAGCCTGCCTAGCTGTTCCGATCTTAGTTTTGAATCCAGTGCATCCTTTACCCTCTCCACGATGATGCGGCTTAATATTTTACTTGGGGTGGACAGGAGAGTGATTCCGCGCCAGTTCTTGCAAACACTGAGGTCTCCTTTCTTCGGCAGTTTGACAAGGTAACTCTTCTTCCAATCAATGAACAAGTACCTTTCCTTTCTCCCAGACATTCTGCAATAGCGTTGTGGTGTGAGCATGTCCGCTGTTGTCTCTGAGTCTGTTTTCAGTGCTTTAGACGGGATTCCATCTGATCCACCTGCTTTCGCGCATTTCAGAATTTTTATGGCGTTCAGGACTTCCACTTTTGTTGGAGGATTTATGTTCACTTGTAGTTCTGTGGCTGTGCTGCAGGTGGTATTTCTCGACGAAGTGCAGGTGATAGTGGTGGTCGGTTCAAGAGCTTCTTGAAGTGATCGGCCCATCCTTTCCTCTGTTTCTCTTCCTTTGGCATTAAATTTCCTTCATCATCTTTTATTGGTTTCGTCTGCGATGATCTCTTCCCTCCCAGCTGGACACTAACCTGGTTATTTGATACAATGTTGTCAGGTCTCTGTCTCTCCGACCAGCCTGCACCCTGTTCTGCTTCACTTGCCAATGTGTAGTAGAATTGTCTTTTGTATTTGCGTGCACTCTTCTTCACTTCTTTGGCCAGTGTAGTGTTTTATACATTGTATTCAGTTCCTCTTGTCGTTGTGCATCCATGCACTGGTTTATCTTCTGCTTCACCATCTTACTCTCCCTCCTCTATCAGCTTCCATGTATCCGTCGAGGTCGATTTTTTATCTTCTTTCTTTTTCCTTGGTAATATGGCTGTGCAGGTTTCTTTCCACATCTCTTTTTTAAAACATTTCCAGTGTTCTTAATTAGAGGTTTCTTCAGGGATGATACAGAATTTCTACAGGAACTTAATACACTACTGACTTCGGGCCATCCTACTGAATATAATTTAAATTAGGTCCAGTCAAATGAATAAGTAATAGATCAAGAAATATCTGTAAGGTAGGGTGCATAGATCAAACTAGTCAATTCAGGTCAGCTGGGTTATTGGGACACATGAGTTTACCCAAATGTAGTCTGACAGAACTCGATTGAATCAGCAATCTAGAAAAAATTTGGTTGCTGCAATGAAAGTTGGAAGAAAATCACTTTCTTCTAAGTCCAATGTTGTTAGATTGGGAGAGATTGGTCACTGACTCTTGGTTCATCTATTCAGTACACATCAAATTTAATAGGAATGACCAAACACCTGTACCAGAGATGTGAACTGTTTCGCTACCACTGAAAAGAAAGAATATGAGATGATGCAACTATGAAAGTCAGATGTTGAAAGTTGTATGATTGCAATAATTTGATTATAAGCGATAATAATCTATGCTCGAAACGTTACCAAATAAATAATACTGCATCACTATGCTGAAACTTTACCGACTGTAACTTCTGCATCATACCAACCTTTCAGCAGTCAGTCTTAGTTTCAGTCAATTCATTGAGATACTATGTTTCAACTTTGTAGAGGGCAAATACAAGCATTTATCAAAATGTGATGCGGAAGCAAAGGGATGAAATACGCCTGATTAGTCACATCCAAGCTACTAGCTATGCGAAGTCTTTCCAGAAGATTTAAGAGAAACAATCAGTATGTATTTGGTTATTGTTTTAATTTCAGTATATGCAAACGAGATTGTTTTCAGAAACCTCTTTTTTATGTAGAACAATGTTAATTTGTTCCATAAGTTACAAGCCATTCATGCTTGTATGTCTGTTTAAAATACTGGCTTCATAATATCATTCAGAATAAACTAGTTTGGCCTGAAGTAAAGCGAGCATAGGCGACGACATCTATTAGGAAGGAATAAGATGTTCGCAGATAAAGATGTAACACCTTGAACCATTTCGTTTATTCATGAAGAAGTGTTTTCGAGACTTCTTAGAAATTATTTAGTTCAAATAACCGAAAGGGTAAGAAAATAAGGGTAGCCGAATTAGAAATGACCTAACTATTGTTCGTGTTACACAGATAGGAGTTGGCTTCTGAGTTTGACTGCCTGAGACGAATGAAGTCAATGGAATATGAGAAAATTAACTACAGCAACAAGCATCTAATATTGCTTTATTCCCATACAAGTCATTAAATCATACATGTGAATCACTGATACCCACTTACCTAATTGTAGTATAACCTTATATGGCCAAATTAATGTCGTTTAAAACTTCAACATTTTTTTTTGAAAACCGGATACTTGGTATTATGATGTGTAATGACTTTGATTGATATACATTATTTAACTTGTTGCCCTGTTGATATTTGTCTCCCTGACTGTCATATTTGATGAGAAAGTGAAATATCAATGACTGAAAAATAAATTTCCATCAGAAGCACAGGCCAGTAAAAAATGTCACTTTTGTTGCTAAACGAGTAATAGGTATACATACCAACAATCTTGAAGACCACTCTAAAGCTTAAGCCATCAAAAATGGTCTTTTCTGATACTTTTTTTTAAAATATTTTGCCTGGAATTCTTTCTTTCACTGAATGATCCAGAAGTTTATTTGTCTGCTGATGTAAAATTCATCCTGGTAGAATAAAAAGGCGATTTCGTCACTGGATAACTATCTGGATGACCTCCAACTGCTCGTGAAGATGTCAAGACTTTATTTCCTTCTATTGCAATATTTAAAGATATATTTGAGAAAAGTAGAAAAAAAATGAAGTTTATGATAGTTGTTTTGCTCCAGCTTTTAAACCCTACAGCGTTTTTCTTGCGTTTTTTATTGCTTGAAGTCGAGGAAATGGGTAACTTTAGGTAAAATTGCGCTATTAGATTCCTAAGCCATAACGTTTGACTTAGAAAAAAATACTAGCCAGTAAGTTACAACACAATTGTAGCAAACATGCTGTTTAAACAACTCAGCTCCGAGTACGCAATCCAACCAAGATAAACTTAATTCATTATTCCAGGGAATCAGTCTTCAACTCATTTACGAGTTACCCTTTTGTATCCTTCAACCGATCAGCTGTAAATATTCCATTTTACTTAAAGGAACAAAAATGGTACCACTGTGATGAAGTCATCTTTGATATTGTGACATTTTTCTTTAAATGACTTTCAAATGTGATATTTAAATTTTTAGAAATGGACGATTCTTCGGTATATTTCAAACCGTAAACTCAATGAAGAATACTGAACATTCAGAGGGGTTATGGTGTTTTTCATTTGTCCAGAACCTAGTAGGCAAATACTTTGGTTGTCAGACTATGCAATCGAATGAAAAATACAGCTCTTCATCTCAAAATGAAATTCATTTACCATTGCAAAGACGATCGCTAGAAGGTAAGAATCAACCATCTGAACGGTTACTTCAAAAATCTAACACAATGTTCTCATCAATCAATGAAAATCAGTATATTTCGGATGTAACACATCATTCCAGTACATCAGTATCAGTCAGTAATCAGAAAGCTGTCAATAGTGTAACGTCTAACTCTTTATCATGTCAAACATGGAGATGTCCGCAATGTTCCATTGAATTTCAATTACCATTCATTCAAAATACTCCAGAAATTCATCAAAATAATCAACAAAGCATAAGGATAAGAACAAACCCATGGATAAGTTATCCTCCATTAGATTTTAAAAATGCTAAGATGTCATATACAATGACATCTCCACTTTCTATTTCAAGTTCACTCACTGATAGTGGTATTTACATATGTACAGACAGTGGTTCACGATGTGAGCACATTACTCGATCAACAACTGAAACAGAAATCAATAAAAATAATACACTTTTTGCACGTGTAAATGATCCACCCATCATACCAATCTCTCCAGATCCACCACCATCACCTGCACCTAAATGTTCTGACAGCATAATAGCTCTAGAATATTTAAGTCAAAGTGATATATCATTTGAAGAAAATCAGACGGTTACTTCATCAAAGTATTCAAAGGGCACTTGTAGCGGCATTTGTAAATCAGCCACATTTGACTTATGCAATTTGGAAAGTAATAAAGATATATCGGATTATAAACCAAGAAAATTACTAACCAAAAGAATGAGAAATCACCTGAGAAATTCATGGCTGCATAAAATTACTGGATCTACAACGAAATTATTAACGTCAACTCTCTTTCATCATATACCTTCATCATCATCATCATCATCTTCACCGTTATCCGATTGTGAATTAAATACTAACTTTGGTGAGAAGTTGTCATGTTTCACCAGTGGAGAGACATTAACTCCTAGTGAAAGACACAAATTTTCATGTTCAAACCTAAACACCTTCGATTTAATTTATACAAATCCTGACAGGCTGTTAAGCAAAGCCATAAATGAATCTGAAACCTGTACTGCTCAAGTAAGTCAGCGTAGCCAAGCAATGTTAAGCTCTCTAATTGAAGACATAGATCCAGACATTCGAGCCACATTTAATCTAAGTCGCTCACTAGATCCAATTATTAAAAGTATTCATGAGGATGATTTAAGTGACACACTTTATGAAGATATACAGCTTGAAAATTTAAGAACAAGTTTAAAAATTCTCTCAGAAGCTAAAAATGTTATTAATGCACAAATGAGAAATTTGGGTCAAAGTTATATAAACTATTTAAAGAATAAGTATTCAGTAGGAGCAGAAATGAATGCTCAACACTTTGATACAAAGAAAGAACCTTCAGATTACACAAGTCATAAATAAAGATAAATGTAACTTGGCTTCTTACGGCTCATTATTGATAAAGTTCATTGAAGCGGCGCTTCATCATGACCATTCCAGCAGTTTATTTCATGTCATTTTCTTTAAAAACAATGAAATAATGATACCGATTAACTTGAGATCAGTGTATAGTGCGTAAATAAGGTTCATTGATGTGTGTAACAAAATTTAGCCTTTTCCAGTGATCACTTATTTATTCAGTTAGAATAGTAGTCAATCGAATGACATAATATCATGTAAATTATTGTTCAGAAATGTCAAACACATATCTCTTATAACAAACAATCCCATATTTCAGAACAATACTCATATTATCGTGCTTTATATCTTCTTCCTCAAAAAGCATGTAAAAACATATGAGAATACATGGTATGTATTGTGTGAGGCTTTATTACAAAAAGTTGGCCAAGTTGATACTTTCAAAATATACGTACCACCTTTTACAATGTTGTTTCTTCTAGATCAATGGAATTTTCCTTCATGGATTATCTAGAAAGACATTAATTTTATTATTAACTTGTAAAGCATAAATGTTACTGTTTTTATAAATACTGATGGTGGTAATACAATGAAATTGTTTGTACCTAAAGAGTCATAACCTTGAAAAAAATATACGCGTAAACTTAGAAGCATAGTTCTATAGTTTTTCATAAATTTCACTTTAGTTGTCCTTCTTATTGGCAAACGATTCTTAGTTCTCAATGAATTTTATAATTGATTAAATTTGCTTTTGCTCTTCTAATGCTTAGCAATGTGATTTTTTGCGATGGTCGTGGTGTATCAGAATTATATTATTGATCCAGGGTAATAATTGGAGGTGAAATGAAAATCTAGGTCACGGCAAAAATCGAACTAGTGACCTCTAGGTTACCGGTTTGGTTTTCTACCAACAAAACTGTTAGACAGATCCTGTTGCATATACCACTCAATTATGTGAATAATTTGATGTAATAATAAAAATAATCTTGCAGATTTTATAAAATAAACTAGCTTATTCGCATAATTAGATAATAATTATGCTGAACTGAAAGTATATTTATAAAGTGGATATTTAGAAAACATTCAGCTCGTGAAACAATGCTATTCTAAGTATGCTAGTTTTACTCAGGCATTTCTTTTTCGCTGGGAGTTTTTTACATGGTGTGACCACAAGAAGAATTGAATCCGCAAAAACGTTTCAAAACATAACCGTAATTAGGCATTCTAACAAGTTGTTCAGGTATGCATTTATACTTTCCAGGGATTTCATAATCACTGGAGGTCAGAAATGGCCGATTACCTGGAAAAAAGAGGAAGATAATATCCTCTCTGACTCCCAAGTCTATGAAGAATTTTTTTTAATTTTTGTTATTGTTCCTCAAATCGATGACAAACTATACATTTTAGCAGAAAGCTGGTAAGAATGGAAAATCTAATGAATTCTTAGAAAGAGTTGCTGCTCGAATGTATCATGTAAGTTAACTTTGAACATAACCTGAAACTATACAATGGGGCAGATGGGGTCACTAAAGGCCAGTCATTCTGTTTTTTATTAGTAAACATTTTTATGCTCTAACTAGATGACGGTTTACTTGACCAGCTTAAAAGAAAAATTTCACTGTCGAATTGTGAATGATGGATTTTACCTTTGTCGCAAATAGGCAGACTGGTTAAAGATACTCAGTGGGTTCAGTGAAATTCCACTGTAAAGCGCGCATATCAAAAAGCATCCAGAAGCGGATGATATTTCTCGATAATTCTTCTCCCAAATAATTCATATTAATCAATGAAGAGAAATTCTAAAAAATAGTTAATGATCATACATAAAATACAAGCCATTAAGCTTCCCTCTGCTTCCGTACAAACAAAATCTTTCAGGAATATGATGAAAATTGTATGTTTTTATGGTATGGTGATGGAGAAAATGTTTGCATTAAAATGGCTCTTCAGATACGCCTCAATGGATGAATTATTATTGAAAAAACAACAAGAAAAATCATGCTTACTGTCAGTAAATGTTGTTTCACAATCAACAAGCGCCTAATGCTTAAAAAGTTACCAGTTGTTTTTCTACACACCGAAACATATCTTCGGGAATGTAAATTAAATAACCTGAAAGAGACACTTTCTGTTATAGTGGAAAATGTATCATTTACCGAAAACAAGTGCATCTAGGCGATGAGTCACGACTTAGACGAAACGTGCGCTCTAGATTCCTTTACCAGCCACTTTTCGTTATTATCAAACCACCTGTTCAATTAATTAGAGCAGTTCAGAACAATAAAACCTATCAAGATATTGATATACGTTTGTTTCTCACGCCAGTCAGCTTCAAAAGACTGCGGAGAACAGTATGTGAAATGGCAACATGCTACTGAAACTTTGTGTTCCACTAGGAACCCAAAAAGCAAATGATAAATAATAAAAAAAGTTCTCATGTTCAAACAAACCAGATATACGACTGCAGAATATGAACAGGAATTTATCAAATCCAACTTTTTCTGTTCATTTTATTGTCCTTATGATAATACTGCTAATACTTGACTATCTCTAGAAAAGCCTTTGTGTGTTGGTTAGCACATTGTCCTCTTACTATTGTTGAATATTTTAAGGGGTTATCTCGAGCCCGAGATATTTCTTTTAGTAAAGAAGAATTGAGATAAAAGGAGCCGGGGAGTTTACCCATCACTTTAAAAATTCAACCATAGCAGACTAAAATTACATAATATTTACACAGCCAAGTAAAACAGTCTTACAATATGTCATGGTATGAAGGAATAAAAATAATCAACTTACCAACCAATAAAATGATTTGTCCTAATAATAACGCAGTTGCGTAAATTTAATTATAGACAAAACCACTTGTCACGGATAAGACCAAGAGAATTTAGGACAACCTTTCTTTTTCATTCCTTGTAAAAAAGTACATAAATCTCGATAGGTTTAGTTCCCCACATATCCAGGTGTAGCTTGAAGTCTGGTAATATATAAAACTATTGTTAGGAAGATAAGTAGAAGGTTCGAAGGAATACAGAAAATTGATGACGTCAGAGAATGAAGTAGATTAATGTTAAATTTTTCCTCTAAATTCTTGCAGTTGTCACGAAAATTCTCTAACGATTGCAAATTTTTTTGAAGAGTGAATTTTGGTTGGATCGATTATTAAATATAATTTAAACAAAACAGGAAAAATTGTCATACAGGCTTCATTTTGAGGTAGTATTCATCAAAAAACTGACATCAAATGGGGGACCATTGAGAATCTGGGAGCATTGGACAGCTGTTTCATACTAGTATTGGACTCCTTGGCAGTACACACCCACGATCGGGCTAGGGATCTAACTCAGGACCTTCAGGTTTCACGGCTGACTCGTTTACCATTCACCCACTGGATCGGTATTCAGTGGTTCACAATTTCCAAATTCTGTCAATTCACGATATAGTGCGACTATTACCCAAAGTCTTCAGTTACCATCCGCTTTATTGACGACTGGTTGACCCCACAGGTCACGGCTTCTCGTTAGAGCTTCGTAATATCAATCTGGAAGCAAGTCACTAATGAAATGTATTTTTTAAGATGAATGGGGAGATTTAATTTAGAGGTAGTATTCATCATGGACTGACATCATTTGGGGAACCATCGAATGATTAACCAATGAATGGTTAACGCGTTCACGATGAAACCTGAAGGTCCTGATTTCAATCCCTAGCCGAGTCGTTTTGTGCGTACCGCCGAAGAGTCTCACACTAGGACAAAACAGCTGTCCAGTGCTCCCAGATTCCCAATGGTTCTCTAATTGATGTCAATCCATGATGAATAATACATCTAAATTAAAAATCTCCACTCATCTCAAGACTTCATTGTGTTGCTCAATTTATCGTCAAGATCCTTTTAATAAGTCTGAAATCATTGTGAACCTTTTAAGCTAACTAAAGCACTTCGAATTATCATGAATAAACTCCTGATCATACGTTTAAATCTATAGATTGTTCTTTCGGAAGAGACACTAACCAAATATATATATGATGATTTTTCTTGTTTTTTTTCCAATAATAATTCATCTACTGAAACGTATCTGAAGAGCCATATATATATATATATATATATATATATATATATATATACATTCAGATAGTAAAAAGCTGCCTCTTTCTCTGTTTCAAGGAATATAGAGCCCATCAGAGCTTGAATTTGAAGGTTACTGTTCACTTGTCTCCAAGCATACATCAGCATACCACGTAGTAATAATGCTTGTACGAATTCATTTGACGGAATTTAATTAAAGATCAAATTTTCTTCGAAAAGATCTAACTCCATATTAATCTTTGTTATAAATCTTAGTTGTGATAAACCTGACTCTACAAAAAAATGTGCTCCGTTAAATAAGACGGTTTAGAAGCGTAAATATCAGTTTCTATGATACCTTTGAAGATAGTGTTCTTCAGTCATCAAGCATGTCTCGGTAATCCAAAAGATAAGCTTCCATATTTGACCACTTCCACATGTGTTTATCAATTCACCTGCTCCTGTGAGGCTAGGCATGTAGGTTGTTCATTGAGCATTCTTTCCAAACGGGTTAGAGAACATTACTCTGTGTGGCTGCAAAGTGGTGCGAGCGAATCCACCAGAACTGCACCTTGTCAACACTGATCACAATAACACAGTTAATTCAACACTGAAAGTTATCTACAGGATGAAAAGAAATTTGCGACAGTCATTCCACTTCCACCTTCTCTGTACTGCAGAAGTTCTTGTCATATGTATGCGAAAATCAGAATTATGTTTACAAAATGGACTTGCTAAACCTTTGTACCTTCCTTGAATTTAGTAAATGGCTAAAAATACATCTAACTTTATCTCCATCTTATTATTAAACTTGCATCACTTTTGTGATCTTTTAATGTGCATTCAATTTGATCTTTATTACTAAGCCTAATAAAATAATTCGTGAAATTATCTAATATAGTTATAGAAAAATATATGAATTATGATTATACTACTA